AGTAATTCCGCAGAGGACAATGGGCCAACCGTGGTAAAACGTGGTCGTGGCTCACTGACCTATACTACAGCCACTCACGATAAATTAATTTATTATTCCCGATTCCTTTACAACCTTGCACGTGAATTAAGTCAACCAACTCTCCTTCCAAAAACATTTTATGGTAAGCTCTGATATTACCTACTCTTTACAAATATACCTCTGAATGAAACCGTTTGCATATATGAACTTTTACGTAATAATATTTTGCTGAATGGCTTTGCTGAACCTCAAATTAAGAACATGTTGGACATTACAACCAAGAATTCACACTTTCTTTTCAACAACACCTTCTTTGAACAAGTAGATGACGTAGCGATAAGCTATCCGCTGAATCCAGCGATAAAATATATTTCTCCAGTATGTCGACACCTGCTCCGCTGGTTTCAGACCTATCCTTTACGGAAGGTATGTAGACGACACTTTTATTTTCTTTCATTATAAGGATCACTGCGCAATTTTTTTAGAGTATCTTAACTCCCAACATCCTGCCATTAAATTTTCAAAGTTGGAAATAATAATAATTACCTTTTTTTTTAGACTTCCTCAATGACCGTAACACTAACACTAGTGGAATTAATACATCAGTATACGGAAAAAAAAGACGTTTACAGAACTTCTCACAACTACTAGTTTCACAATTTGACACCCTTATCTCATTCACGTACAAAATAAATCTTGTAACATGCGTATTAAACAGAGCTTATAACCTGTGTTGTACGTACCCGAATTTACACTCAGAAATTTCTCTCTTACAGTATTACAAGATACTCTAAAAACAAAATGTAACGGCTACCCATAATATGTAGTGTATTATAACAAACTACTAATACGTTTTCTAAGGAACTCGCATATCCACCAAGACTACCAACTGTACTCAAATTTACTATATGGTATACTATATATTCTTATCTTCCATACATTGGTAAACAAAGCTTAACTTTATGAGTCAAATTAAACGCGTAATTCATCAGTACTACTTCCAAGTTGATTTCAGATTAGTTTTTAAACCCACATCATGCGTACATTTCTCTTTTATCATGGCTTGTATATACTGTATTTACATGTATGGAGACTAATTATTTTGCCTTCATTGCATACCTTCTACAATCATGTTGACAGTTCTCCATTGTTCATTTTAAGTGTTAGACCTGTAAAACAAATATACATGTATGTATGTGAACATATATGTACATATATTTGTAGTTTGCATAATGTCAAGACTGGTTTCATAAAAATCTTACACGAGTGGAGCGAAGGGGGATTATTAATATCCCTGAACACATCAGTTTAGAAGTTTCTTTCTTTTAAAAATTAAATCCCTGTCACGAATTTTTATTTATTTATTATTATAGTTAAAGCCTATGAACATATGTGAATTTTCATGAAAACACAAAAAAATTGAGTAACCACTCTATATGCCAGCATAGTGAAGAAGCAGGACACAAACTTATCAATTTTCAACATCCTTTGCAAGGCCAACACTTATCATGAATTACCGATTAAATAAACTCCACATAAAACAACTTTCACCAACACTGAATAACATCCAGTCTTCTTTTAAATTGCACATTTTTTAATATGTATACTATTTTTGTTTGTTATTCCTTTACTTTGTATGTGTTTTAGTTTGGAATAGATTATCGTTATTGCAGCAACATATTTTAGTTATTTATTTAGGAATGGTGTATTTCTTTTATTTTGCTTTAGATATTGAAGATGTCATCTATAGAGTTCCAAAACATTTATATTTGTTCCCTTCCATTGGAAATTAAGAGTGTTGTTTATCTTAAGCATCATTACCCTTTTTCTTTTGGAAAATTACTTTTCAACTACTTAAGCTATGTATGAAGGTTCTTTTTGGATTTTCTTTTTCAGATTTAGAGAATTTGCTCAAATATTAAGTTTAAAGAATCTGTAGGCTACAAAGAAGACCAGAGATCTCTAATGATGACTTCAGAAAGGGAAAGGCTGGGTCCAAAAGAGATACAAATACCTCTTTCATATGGGCATCTGGCTGCAAAAGATTGGGGACCACCAAATGGACTACCTGTACTAGCTTTGCATGGCTGGTTGGACAATGCTGGCTCTTTTGACACTTTAATCCCATTATTGCTTCCAAACTTGAGAGTAATTGCATTAGACTTACCTGGACATGGTCTATCCTCACACAAACCTCCTGGTAGTATATATGAATTTGTTCATTTTCTTGTTGACATTAAAAGGGTTATTGAATTTTATGAATGGAAAAAGATTACTATAATAGGGCATAGCCTTGGAAGTGGATTAGCAGTATTTTTTGCAAGTCTGTATCCAGATCTAGTTGAACGTGTAATTGGTATTGATCTCATAAAGCCTGTAGCCACACCTGTTGAGAAGATAACTCAGAGGGCTGCTGAAGCTATTAACCAACAACTAGTATTGGAAAAGAAACGTTCACAAGAACCACCAGTTTACACACAAGATGAGGCTCTTCAACGTCTAATTGAAGGATTGCAAAACCAAGTTACTGAAAAGTCAGCCAAAATCCTGATGAAAAGGGGAACCAGGCTTTCTAGTGATGGAAAGGGTCTCATTTTCACCCGAGATATACGTGCAAGGAGGATTTATCTCTTCAACTTTGACATTGAACAACAGAAACTCATTCTATCACACCTGAAATGTGAACTGTTAATTATTAAGGCAAAAGGGGCACCTTGGTTTGAAGATCCTGAAATACAAAAATATTTTTTAGACCTGTATGCAAGAAATAGCAAAAGATTTCAGTTTACTGAGGTTGAGGGCTCCCACTTTGTTCACCTGAATAACCCAGAAAGGATTACACCTATAATTAATACATTCATCTCTAAGAGGTTAATGGAGAATAAAGGAAAGCTTTAAGCATACTCATAGTTTAATGAAATTTATCATTTATATTTTAGTGGTATGTAAAGGTTTTATTTTGATCTTTTATTATGAGATTACTTGATCATTTTTGTTATTATATAATAAAATCCCACATACCTTATTTACTCGTGTAGCTTTGTGCAAAATTCAAAACAAACAAACAACTAGTGATAGAGAAGGATAATTTTGTTGTTGAGTTTTATATTCTTAATACTTCTTGATATATAATTTATGTTGAAATATTTATACACATTTTAAAATGTTTTTAAGATTTTAACATAGTCTCTCAGAAAGTAAGTGAATCTGGATATAAAAATCACTGGTCAAGACAAAGAATTATTAGATAAGTCTTATTTGTCAAATGTTTCATTTTGTATGTGCTAACCTTTAGAGTTTTAACAGCTTCAAGTACAATTGTATTGTTAAATCCTAGTAATAATGCTAAGGTATGTAGGTAACATATAGTTCACAGAAAATTATTACCTTAATCTGTGTTAGCTATGTACAAAAATATGTAACAGTACCAATATATCTATATAACATTCTTACAGGTTGAGCAATAGTGGGCCTGTCTAATATATGTATACATAATTTTAAATACAAGCATCAAATAACAGACAATCTAGAGTATATATGATAATATTTTTGGCTTTGTTTACAAATTTTAAGTTCTATAATGTTGGGAGCATCAGTTTACTGTTTTGATGATAGAATTGATTACAACGTGTATATTTTAAACAAATTTATTGACTATATAAATCAGTGTTAATCTAAATTAGTAAATATGATGTGGGTATACTGAAATTATAACGTTTATTGAATTGTTTTGATTTTATTTATTTATTACAAATTTTTAAGTTCTATAATGTTGGGAGCATCAGTTTACTGTTTTGATGATAGAATTGTTTACAATGTGTATATTTTAAACAAATTTATTGACTATATAGATCAGTGTTAATCTAAATTAGTAAATATGATGTGGCTATACTAAAATTATAAGGTTTATTGAATTGTTTTGATTTTATTTCTCTCACTATTTTTGCAATATAGTATTAATGAGTTAGCCACCTACTGAGTTATTTTGATATGTAACAAGTATGTGATAGGAATGTTTGTGCACAAACTCATTAGGGACAAAATTTAAAAAAGCAATTTTATAAATAAATTTTGATTAGATTAGTTTAATGCTCTTAATAAAGAGATTGCACTAGAATTTGTTAGTAGTATTTATACTCAAGTAAAGGCATAGGTTGGTCTAGTAAAAGTTTTGTTTCTAGTGGTCTTGGTCCGGCATGGCACAGGTGGTTAGGGCAATCGATTCACAATCTGCGGGTCGCGGGTTCAAATCCCCATCAAACCAAACGTGCTCGCCCTTTCAGCCGTGGGGGCATTATAATGTGACGGTCAATCCCACTATTCATTGGTAAAAGAGTAGCCCAAGAGTTGGTGGTGGGTGGTGATGACTAGCTGCCTTCCCTCTAGTCTTACACTGCTAAATTAGAGATGGCTAGTGCAGATAGCCCTCGTGTAGCTTTGCGTGAAATTCAAAACAAACAAACAACTAGTGGTCTCATTTCATGTGTTTTAGCAGTATAAATTTTAGTTGTAATTTGATTTTACAGTATTATTTTAGTTGTATAATCTTAAAAGGCAGATTTAATCAGCTGAATAATAATTTTTCCTGTAGTTTAGAGTAACATACATGTAGAGAACAAAATGTACATTTCACCCTTTACCAAGAAAGTTCACCCCAACACCACATAACTATGATTCCATGTGATTTGTTCATTATTTTTCATTACAGAATTGTGTGGTTTTAATTTAAATTTTTTGGATAAGCATTTAGAATCATATTACTTGTGTGTTTTAGAAATTACTACAAAAATTGAAGGTTAAATAATACAGATAAAATTCAACTGAAAAGTGCACCATGTTAATCTTTTTATGAAAATGTCAGCTTCTAGAGGGTAAGGAAATATATTGAAAACATATTTGAATATATACGTGATCTAAATTTGCACCTTTCAACCATTGTATGAATATCTTGATTAACATGTTTAAATTGGGGAGGGAGACAATTTTGAACTGTATCTTTATTCTATTAGTGTCTTCTCTAGTTTTCATACACATAAATGTATATATTATTTGGATGGTAACTCTGAGTTTCAGTGGTATGATAGCAGTCTTTTTATAAGCAAAGTACAGTTTCTTCAATCTTCTGAAAGCTTTCAGTTTATCATTTTTGATTTTCTATTTCTTAAATCTTTTTTTACAATAATCAAAAAATATAGGTGCATTGCCAGTCCATCACATGATGTATCAGATATGCTTAAAAAAATTATCTAGTTGTAGTTTTTTTATTCTTTGTAAAAATACTTCTATAAGGTTTAAAGTACATTATGACTGAAGTCCAGGTTTGACATTCAAAATTAACATATTTATAATATAGTTGTTGATGGCATATTTCCTTGGCATGAGCTGTTCATGAAGTTGACTGTTTTATATGAAACAATTGATTTTTGCATTGCTGGGATTGCTTTTGAAGTGATTCCTATTGAAAATTCACAACAGGTGTTTCTCTTTGGGATGCATTGGGAAAATTTAGCTTTTTAAATTTTGAGATGAAAATGAGGTTATTTTGCTGATGGTGAACGTACATATAATTTCTCTGCCTATTGTGTATCTTGATATTGGTTGGGTCTGTCAAATACAACTTTTCTGCCTGTTTAGTTGTTGATCTCTAGCACTAAAAGAGGTAGCCTACAATATGGTATTTCCTTTTGATTTTATCTGATATTTCTGTTTAACTTATAGAAGTGGAACCTTATAAAACTTTTTTAAGATCCAGAGCAATTATAAACTGGTTATTTTTTGCATTTCTAGTATTTACAAATTTTATTTATTATATCATTATTTAATTGCTTGTCACTTCATAGAAACAATTTCTCCTCTTTTCTTTCTAGATTTGAAAAAGTTGACTTACAGAAAATGTAGCATTTAAATAATATTTTGATACTCTGTAATATATTGTATTGCAATGAATTTTATTGTATTGTGAAATACTTGGCATGTGAATAAGTACATACCCAACAATGCTTACAATTAGCAATCTGCTTAATGACATTAATGAAATATTGTATAGTTTTGTATTTTAATGGAATGAACTAAATTCTCTTCAACAGAAGGTTGTCCATGTAAAACATGCTAGTCAATTAATTTATGGATGATATGATAATAAAGTTCCTTGCCTTCTGATTAGATGAAGTAGAACTAAAAATATACAATCTAAACTATATTTAAAGTGATCACATGGTATTAGTGAGAGGAATGAAAGAAAATGTTTTATTTGAGATACTAATATTGTTCCTAATATTTTCCCCCAGTCTTATCAGGACTTTTATTATTTTATATTGTAATAATTCTTTGTATAGAATACACCGTCATTCCTATTTTTTGTTATTTGATTTGTCATAAGATTGTAATAGATGTTCTTATGTATTAAGAAAATTACCATTGTATGGGCAATATGTACAAGCCTAAAATAACTTACTTTTATTGAATAAACAATTATCCAAATTAGATTTAGTAAGAGCTTATTTATTATTATGTATTTATTAAGACCTTATAGCCTAATAGTTGTTTTTGTCTTAATTAGGCATTCACATCATATAAAAGATTATTTAATTTCTGTGATTCATATTGATGTATAAACGTTGTTTTATTCTGGAAATAAAAGTCCTTACAACACCTTACATTTTTACTTTAATTGGAAACTCAGTGTTTTTTTTTTATAGCTTCATAAATTACAGTAAAAAGCTTCAAATTGAATAAAACTTTTGATGTTTTGTACCGTTAGTTACAGTAAGTTTTTTAGTGGAACAGTCCTGAAGAAGAAGCTGTAAAGCAAAATATTGATTGTCTAGTTAATTAAAGAAAAATAACAAATTTGGTTTTATAAGGTCATTATTTCTTGTATTAAAAATCATATAAAAGATGTGTGAAGTACTTTTCTAGCTTAGGCATCCATATCATATAAATGATACATTATTTTGTGTTTTTGCTTTTCTAACATATGCATCTGCATCATATAAATTATAGTTTATCTTGTGTTATTCCTTTTTTAACATCATGTAAATATTATTTGCCTTACTTTGTTAGCATAGACGTGTTATATAAATAATACTTGGATTCCATAAGACAACTGATATATTCATTGACTATACATGTAATTGAAGTTCATTTAAAGTGATCTAAAACATATTGTTACGTCTCCG